ACTACTACTACTACTACTACTACTACTACTACTACTACTACTACTACCTACTGCTACTACTACTACTCTACTACTATCAGTACCAGTACCAGTACCACCACCACCACCACGACTACTACTACTACTGCTACTAAGTACTACTACTACTACTACTACTACTACTACTACTACTACTACTACTGCTCCTGCTGCTGCTGCTGCTGCTGCTGCTGCTGCTGCTGCTCGGGCCCTGGAAGTTTCCCAGGTGAAATGATCTGAGTTGTATTGTTAGTTGGGCACAGGTCTCCTGATGAAAGCATTCGCTTCGGACAAAACAGTACGACTTGGCGCTGAAGGACTTGTGCTATGGGCTGAAATACACAACAGGGTTGATGTCAACGTGGTTGTTTTGAAGTGTCATGGTGGGGATCACTCGAAGTAAAGTAATTTTGTTTTTTGCGTATATATGTTTCCCGAATCCTGGGGCCTCACAGCTCACTGCTGTTTACAGCAATTTGGGGGTCCTGTTTAGAGTCCTTTGGACATACACCCTTTACATCCGCAGCTGATCAGCAGCTGGGGCCTCCTTTAAATTTTACCATCAACTCATTCAAAAGGCAAGCTACGTTGAAGTGGCTCCTTCCTCCTATAAATTTTGCCCTCGGCGAGTGGCTCACAAAAAGGTACGCTACCTTGGAATGACTCCTTCCTCCGCTAAATGTTGCCCTCCGTGGCGGCTGAATAAAACACATGTTGCCCTTGAATGGTTCCTTCCTCCGGCGATATCAATTGTATTGAATTTTACGCTTGGGTGGCCCCGCGAAGGGATGCTACGTTAGAGTGCCAAAGTAGAGAGTGCACTTGAAGATCTGTAATTGTTTGTGTCTTCATGGCAGGCACAGCATCCTTAAAGATCACTACTTCCTGCAGTTCCGCCACTACCTGGCAGCTCCTCGTTGCCTTTGCCGGGAGATCCGCAACCTGGACAAGCAGTTCAGGGCTTATATACTCCATCAGGCGCAAGAAGCGGCAGCGGGAGGGTACAGTAGAACCTCTTGCGGGGACCATTCCCGTCACTTGGCGGTTTGTGATGATGCGGCTCAACTGCCTATTATCGTACCTGAAGGCGTGGGGCCTGGGGACTATGCTACAAAGTGAGGCACAGATCTTGTCCAAAGGACCAGCCTGGAATTTACGCGCGCGACGATCACGTGGAAAGGGGAAGCAGAAGCCAGGCGTATCCTTGTGGACGCAAACTGGAAGAGGGAAGACGCTCCTGGACCTGGTCAATGGACCGGGTATTCGTTCTTTTTGGCAAGAATGACCGATGAGCTACGCCAGAAACTGGCGGGGGGAGTGCGGTTCGCGATCGCACAAATCGAGAAGTGTACACTAGCCGCACACGCTTTACCACATGCGTACATGGCATTCGTTTGGCTCAAGAAAAAGGAATATCGCTGGCATGGTTGATGCCGCATGAAAACAAATCAGATTTCGTGGCAGGTGCTGCAAGTGGAGGCAATAGTGCAGATTTCGTGGCGCTGGAGGGGCTGCGCCTCCCCACCCGAGCAAACCAAAAAGAACAAATATACAATAAAAGCATATATATATATATAGAGCAACTAGACGACGGTTGGCCCGAGAGCGAGACATGTAATTGTCCAGCACTGTCGAAAAGATGCACAGAAAGAGAGAAAGAGAGGGTGGATGTGAAGGAGTGACAGTGTCACGCGCAGGTGCGATATAGATCTGTAGATGTATGGAGGTGGAGAGGTAGATCTGTGGATGTGAGCGTGCGAAGATGTAAATGCACAGAGGCGAGAGAAAAGGTATGTAGAAAGAAAGAAAGAAAGAAAGAAAGGACAGATGTGAAGGAGCGACAGTGTGGATGTACAGATGTGATATAGATGCGCAGATGTGTGGGTGTAGTGAGGTGGAGAGGTAGATCTGCGGATGCGAGCGTGTGAAGATGTAAATGTAGAGAGGTGAGGGGGTGTAGACGTAGATGCGTCGATGCAACGGCAGTGCAACGTCAACCTTAGTTGCGCAAGTACAACGCTGAAGAGGTTCAAATAGAACTGAAGAACGTACATTTCACACGGAAGTTTCCACGAACAGGGCGACCTGAGAGTAAACGACGTCACGCTCATGACAAGCGACTCGTGTATTTCAAGCGAACATCGTTTGTCATGAAGGTGAAGTACACACATACTTACGTCACGATGACTCTTTTGGCCGCCACTTAAGAGTAAGCAAAGCAGCTAAATTTGGTCAACTTCTCAAGAGAGCCGGGTGGCGCGAGAGATGATTCAGCCGCGAGAGACGACCCATCCGCGTACTAAAGTTGCACTACAAAGTCGCCAGTTCTCAGCTTCCAGTTCCACAGCTTGCTCCGCGTACTAAAGTTCTACTACAAAGTCGCCAGTTCTCATCTTCCAGCTCCCCAGATACTCCGCGTACTAAAGTTGTACTAGAAAGTCGCCAGTTCTCATCTTCCAGCTCTACAGCTTGCTCTGCGTACTACTTAAGTCGCCAGTTCTCATCTTCTAGCTCCCAAGATACTCCGCGTACTACAAAGTCGCCGGTTCTCATCTTCCAGCTCCCCAGATAGTCCGCGTACTAAAGTTGTACTAGAAAGTCACCAGTTCTCATCTTCCAGAAAAGTCGCCAGGTCTCACCTTCCAGCTCCACAGCTTGCTCCGCGTACTAAAGTTGTACTAGAAAGTCGCCACTTCTCATCGCCGGATAGACACAAATCGCACTCTCACCTGCATTTCGCGCACTCGACACGCACGATCTCCGCAGAGGGTTGCTCGCGACAAAGCCGAATCGCACTCTCGCCTGCACTTCGCGCACTCAACACGCACGATCTCCGCAGCGGGCTGCCCGCGACCGGGACAAATCGCACTCTCGCCTGCATTTCGCGCACTCGAC